AGATTAGCAAGTATAAAGTGTGCTGCCCATAATTCTACTTTGACCAAAATTACTTGACACAAAAACATCATCCTTCTACTCCTCCCTACCACACTCTGTTGTTAATACCTTAGTAAAGGGGTTTAGGGTTGCTTATAAGGCTTTTAGTAGTAAGTATGAACTCCTGTTTCTTGATTGCTGAATCATTGAGAAGCAAACTACGTGTAACTCATCATTAGAAAAAATTAGATGTTTGTTTGTTAAGGTCTTCCTTACCCTGTAGAAGATACTGCTGGTTTTGGTCAATGATTTTATGAAAATGATCATACAAAGGGCATTTGTCTGAAAAAATGCAATTAGAAAGATCAATTCATTTCTTATTTGCTTTCCCTCTCCTACTGATTTTAACCACATCTCCACGTGAGCTATGTCTAGTTAATTGCCATCTCCAAAGTTAAACATTGATCCTGACACAAGCTGTCCAGATAAGAGAGGTTGCCTTCCACTGCAAACACGTGTTCAAAACAAATTTTCTCATGCATCAGAAACAAACCAAATTCCTTAGTCACATTTCAATCGTAGGTCTTTATAATTTATTCTAGCTCTATTCCATCTTTTTATGGTTCCAATGGACTGCTCTTCATTGCTACTGCTGACCCACTTTCAGTAGTGCATTAAGTTATGTGATTAACATCTGTCACATGTTGTTTGTGCTCTCTTCTTCTCCCCAGGGATGCAAGTGTGTGCAGTGAAGTGTCCTGTTAATTTGTTATTTTAAATATGAATGTTGTTGTGTATTTATTAAAGAAGGCAAGGTCAGGGAACGGGCCTTACTTTTGGACAAAAAATGAGCGTGCTTGTGATGCATTTTCCCCTCAGCCCTGATTACAAATAACAATACTCTGAGTAAAATTAACATAGAGACTTCATTTTGTAGGATCAATATGACATCACATGTGGTTTTTTACAGCTTCCATCAGTGTTTTGTTTTTCTGCATTTGTTCTTACAGAAAGGCATGTCTGCTTACCAGTGAATTGTCTGAGTCCAAAATCATCTTTTTGGATCATAGATAATCTTTTACCTTTAGTAGCCACACTGAAGATATCATATGGACATTTTATATATATGTGTGTGTGTGTGTGGTACTAACAGTATTTTAACCTTAGAAAAATTAGTGCTGCCAGTAAAAAGCAATCCTTCATCAAGAAGGATGATGGACACAGTTTTACAGTGCTTTAATTTTTATCTTGTTTTTCCTCATTTGTGGTTTCTGAAGCGGTTCCTCATGGAACTTGCCTTTGCTTTCCTTGCTCATTTTTTTTGCCCAGTTTATTTCTGGTCATCTTGGCCTATGTAAAAGCTAGAAGCTGTGAGCCATTAGCTTTTAAAAATGTGAAAACTTGTTTTCGTATTTATTGGGCTGTTTCAGACTGAAGTGTTGGAAACAGCTGGGAGGCTAATCAGAAACTTTCTGAGAAATACTAATTAATGAAAAATTTAGTGGTCTGGATTGGTTTTAGCACAAGAGGCTCATTCCTTGTCAGGTTTCTATATCCACGGGATGTTTGCTTTGTTATCCTAAGAGCACTTTCTAAGTGGAAAAAGGAAAGTTTGAAAAAGAATGCATGATAACAGAAAATGAGAAGGTTATAAATATGAACTCTGGCTCTCCTAAACCAAATGGCTAAACTCTAATTAACCTCATTGGGCCCAGGGTTTCATCCTGAAGGTTTCTGATGATATTTTTCGAGCTATAGAATGCAAGTGTGAAGAAATACTATTATCTCTGGTATACAATAGTGGAGGGTGCCAAGAACTACAGTGACTTAATGAAATTTAGTACTTAATGAAATTCAGAAAGACTTCTCTGTGTCACTGAGAGTCACTGTCACCAGGCTTGCCACGTGGGAGTGATTTTCTCTGTCACACTCAACTCTTTGAAGCAAGGACAGTTGTGAAATCTGGCATATCAGGTCTCAGTACTGCCTCTTGCATCCCTTCTCCTTCCCTCTTTGTTGCCTTGTCTGATGTCATTCTCCATCTTCCAGTTTTGCCTGGGACAACCCACAAATTTGGGTTGGTTTTGATTTGGGTTATCTGGCTTTCCAAAGCTGGATGAACAGTTGAACTTTTCCATTTTGAACTCAGCAGAACAAACCAATTGAACAGTTCTTATTTCATGCTACATTTTTCACCTAAAATGAGACCTCTAACCCAACGTTGTTGTAGCTAAGATTGCAACAGGGAGAAGACCTGGACATAAGAGAGACTATTTGCTCCACAAAATCAATTTCCTCATTCAGCCACCTAGGCTGAGGAGCTGCCATTTGTTCAGCTGCTGTGACAAGATGCCTCTGAGTGACCATATCCTCAGGTCTAAACCATTCTGTCAGAAGAGAACCAGGTCTAAACCATTCTGTCAGAAGTAAGGAAGGGCAGAAGATGGGCTTAAAACTGGAGAAGAATTTTCAAAACTGAAGAGAACATCCAGTTCCTGATGTTAAGCTGGAAGGTTGCCAGGACTTCAAGAGCATACTTGAATTTACCTTTCTCTTTCATGTCAAAGGTTTAGGAGCCCAAAATGAAAGGTCTATTTTGTGCCATAGGCTCTCTTCCGTCTTCCCTTAGGATCCTAGGAATTTTCTGGATCCTCTTAGGCTCTGCTGCAGTGGGAGATGATAGAAGAAGTCTTTTGCTTGGAAGAATGTAGTACCAGGGATACCTGGGCTACCCAAAAATCCTGGGCCTCTGCGTCAGGCAGTTAATCAAAAACAGGAACTTTGTGACTATACCAAATAGTGAGCATGAGTTTCTGAAGATGCCTTTGCTTCCTGTTGAATATTATTATAAGGGTAATTTCTCATGGAGTTAATTATGTTTAATGTCAAATTAGAATTCGCCAGTGCTGATTATAATTGGTTGTGTTTTGCTGCACACAGAAATTCCTAATGCTGTTCTCTTTAAATCATAGTTCTGGATTAGCAGTGGAGAAAGATTCTTTGGAGTGAAGAACTGACAACTGTAATTGTGCAACAAAATAATTGAAGCGTGCTAAGCAATTAAGGAGTCTATTTATAGCCAGAACATATTTCTGACTCTTCTGGCCATCCTCCTTTTTTGTTACCTTATGTACAAGGGAAAGAAACAGCACGGTTGTGTTGCCATATCTTAACCAGAAACAATAAATGTGTTGTGCCAAGGTAGGATCAGCGGGCAGCACTGCATTAAACATAGGTCAGAGTGTGGGTTTGGTGGCCAGGGACAGATTCTGATTCGTGTGAGTCAAAGAACTTGGCAAATTACTTGATGAAATTTCTCATCCAAAGTGGAGTGTCGTTCCTTTGCTCATCTTCTCCGGGGACAGTGCTCCTCTTGAGCAACGTGGGTCAGCTGCTCCTTGTGAAAGTTTCATCACTCAGCTCAGCCTCAAGAAAGTGACATACTGTTCCTTAAAGATTTTGGCAAAAGCTGAACCTCGCTGGAAGAGGGGCCTCCACATTGTTTGCACAGAGGCCAGGGCCAAACCCATGAATCTGGTTTATGATTCAGGGACTGGAATCTCAATAACCTGGAGGAATTTGTTCTTGGAGTCCTGGTTTTGCCTACTGTAGCTACTTCCTTGGTTTTATTTCTTATATATTGATGAGATATTTGAGCAGTATAAATCACAATGAATCAAAAAATGCATGACCCTGAGTCATGTATTTGTGTCTGGGGCAAAGAACTTGGGGTTTTGCTTTGTGTTTTGACTGCTACCTATCCCTATCTCTGTTGCATGATCCTAAAGAGACAGGGTCTATTTTTCATGGGAAGGAAGATTATTATCACTAGTACAGGGCGGGAACATGTGAGAGATTGTAATGAAACAGCTCATGGATTGTGGCAAACAGGTGAAATAAAAATATCAGTTGCTGTAAAGATAGTAACCATTCAGCATTTGGCAATTAATTCTTGTGAATTGTACTTTAGTCTGTCATGTCAATTTTGTGTCAGAGCAGGATGTATAGCAGGAAAAAGAGCTATTATATCTCTTGTGTTCCATTTCTTGTGCTTATTCTAGTCATGGTTATAAACTGTACTGAGGCTCCTCTCTTGGATTGCTTTTCCTATCAGAGATGACATAATTTCTTTGCTGAATCATTTCTAGGTCTCAGGTTTTTTTAATTTTCTCTTAAAATTAAAAAAAAAAAAATTATCGTAGAAGCAAATTCCTGTGCATTTTTCTTCATAGTGCAGTCAAAGTTCTTTTAAGTTGGAAGATATTTTAAGTACTGAGATGCTAGTGAGACTTGAAAATTGTTCAATGTTAACTCAATTTTACTTTAGTATTAGATTAGCATTAGTTTTCAAACACTTCTACCCCTTTTTAAGTTCTTAAGTTACACATTAAGCACTATTTTCTCTTAAAATTTAATTTATTTTTTTTTTTTATCTTAGAAGCAAATTCCTGTGCATTTTGCTTCATAGTGCAAAGTTCTTTTAAGTTGGAAGATATTTTAAGTACTGAGATGCTAGTGAGACTTGAAAATTGTTCAATGTTAACTCAATTTTACTTTAGTATTAGATTAGCATTAGTTTTCAAACACTTCTACCCCTTTTTAAGTTCTTAAGTTACACATTAAGCACAGCAAGCATTATAGATTTTGCCAGCAGTCTAGATAAGATCTGACAAGATTTGCTATTTCCAAAATTACATGAAAACAGTCCTTCTTAATCCTCTACAATTCAGAAAAAATAAACAAAACTCTAAGGTATTTCTGTTTGTCTAGACATAAACCCAAGCGGGTTTTTTTTTTCTGCACTAAAAACTTCCACTGTTGCTATCACATTTCCATGTAGAGATTAATCAAGGACAGGTCCCTACTGCTGATTTCTGTCCCAAAAATCTGACTGCTAGGATTGGTGGGAAGAAACCTGGCAAGTCTTTTCCTCACTGATCTCTTTTATTTAGACAAACCTTCATGACAAAGGCTGATTTCTGGGCTCAGATCTTCTTCTACCAAGTAATTTTGTTTTCTAGGTTGTGCAGCCCTTAATGTGCCACCAGCTCCTCCACCAGCTGGGTTTCTGGGCTGCTTGGTGAGTAGCTACAAGCCCAAGGACAGGAAGTTTTGATCCAGAGCAGCCTTTTGCCCTTTTACAAACATTTTCTGCTTTGCAGAACGATCAGTTTTGTGCGTTGGCTTCCACCTCAGAGAGTTAGACATGAAACAGAAGAACTGCTGCTCCTGTGGAAGCCCAGCTAGTTTGTGGCCTCAATAAAGAGGAGCCAAAAGCTCCATTGATTGGATGAATTGATTAAAGGAAAGCCTTCAGTGTGCTCACCCACGCCATGGGAAGGGTGTGGATGAGCTCCAGACTAAGTCACCACCTCCAGTGCAGCTGTAAGGTTTCTGGAAAAACAGCCTTTGCTGGTGATCTGAATGACAGTACGTGCACCATTGAGGGGGACATGCTGAGGAGTGTCCTTTAATTTAGCCAGGATTGTGGGAATCTTTACCATGAGGACGCTCATTTTAGTGTGGAGCTAACAAAACAGGAAATCCCAGACAAAAAATAGCTATAAAGCCAATGTAAGTGCCATTATACTGTCACTGTGGGCCTGCTGTGCTTAAGAACAAAATCATACTCCTGCTGAAGGCTTTTTTATTGCCTACACCACTTTTCATTGTCCAGAGTTTTCAATTTCACAAATGAAAATTAGGGAGCATCATTGCCTTTTTTTTGCTGAGATGTGCTTTGTTGCTAAGCATTTCAGCTGAAGTGCTTTGAGGCTAAAATCAAGACAAAGCATTTCAGTGTCATCTCTTTGCTAAATCAATTCTCTGATGTTGATGTTTGCAGAGGAAAGGGCCTAAAGAAGGAATCAGCCCGAATATGCATTAAGATGACGCATGCAGAAAAAAGATGAATGCTGCCTTAGAAACCTGTAAGTAGGATCTTCATCTGCCAACATACCAGAACATTAGGAGCTTAATACCATGGTGTAGGACATGAGAAACAAGGATTATATAGATTTAAAGATGCTGACTTCACCTAGATAGAAAAGCTCCCCACAGGTTGGAAGCCACTGGAGCTTTCCAAAAGGAAAAAAAAAAAAACAAACCAAAAACAACGCCCAAAACCAAAATAAACCCCCATGGGTCATAGTGGACAAAAAAGCTGGGCAGGAATTGGCAGTGTAATCTTGCAAAAAAAGGTCAAGCACCTTGTATTTGGGTTGTACTGGTGAGAGTGGAAGCAGAGTGAAATAAACACCTGTGGGTCATAGTGGACAAAAAGCTGGGCAGGAATTGGCAGTGTAATCTTGCAAAAAAAGGTCAAGCACCTTGTATTTGGGTTGTACTGGTGAGAGTGGAAGCAGAGTGAAGGGAGCCTTCCCCCCTCTTGCTCTAACCACTACAGCAAAAACTGCTGTAGAAAAGTCAGCAGTAATTAAAATGCCTTGCTGCCTGTTAGCAAGGAAGATCCTAAGAGAGGGGCTTGCCAGCATACAGAGACATTCCAAAATATTGAGCAACTGCTGTCCAACTCCACATTCATCCATCACAATGAACAGAGGGTCCTGCTGATTGTGAGCTATGCATATTTCTGTGGGTTTGGAGCCATTCTCAGCCAGCCATTAGGAGATGGAACTGAAGCACCTTTTTCTGTCTATTGAGGAATGCTGACACCAACTGAACAGAATATGAATTGATTAAGGGCTTGCCACTTCAAAGTCAAGCCAATAGCTTCAGTCCTGTTGCTGTGCACGCAGGGATGGAGATGCTTGTGAGCAGTAATGGAGTGTTACACCAAGTGCTGATGATTGCACAAGGTTTTTGTGAGCCAGAAAAAGAGATTGCAAATGCCAGTGTGTGGAGATGACTGCCATTGCCTGTTCCAGATTGTGCTCTTCCACCTGCAGCTGAATTCTCAGCGCTGGAATTCCTCCCAAGCCTTTTCAAGCCAACCATGTCATGGAAATGGCTGCCAGTGATTTATCCAGAGCTTGGCACGAGTCCTTGGCTGGGTGGGGAGGAAGAGTTTGGCCAACAGAGTAAGTGAATAGAGTTGAAATAACTTTTATCCAAAAATTCTGATCTGTCTGCCTGTGAAGAAAACCTTTTATTTTGCTGTTCTTACAGGAAATCAACATTTATTTTTGTTTCACTAGCATGATCTGTAGCAAATTCAGATAAAATGCATCTGAAAACATTGCCCAGAAGTTGCATGGGATGCTCTGGGATCAGTGCTGTGATGGTCACAGTTGAATGTGTGAGCCATCAATAAACACAGTGCTTCCCTGGGATGTGGTAACAAATCCAATTCACTGGCCTCTCCTTGGAAAGAATTTCTGCATGTTATAAATTGGCTTGAACTGATTTTTATTGTCACCATGAACATTTATTTCAGCAGCCTCAGTTCTTTCCCAGCTATTTGCATGTCACAACTACTGAAAATGCTGTATTTCATATCAGAGCTGCCATCAGGTCTGGTAGGTGAAAGGGTTTTCCCCAAAGCAGCCTGGTTTGAGCTGCTCCTACTGCATCATGCCTTTTGCAGGGAAGCAGCTGAACCAAATGGCTCAGTCAGACATGTTAAATAGGATTACAATAGGCTTATTCCTCATTTGTTGGCATAGTTACTCTTATCCAACTACTGGAGGGAGACCAGATGAGCTAAACTTGGGGCAGGTCGAGCCAAACAACAGTTCTGTCAACCCTTTCTGCCTGAGTGTTGTGATACAGATAAAAATAAGGGGTGGAGTCACCTCTATTTTTTTTACTTCCTTTGTATTTGCAGAGTCAACCAACTCAGAATTGCGAGCATCTGTGAAACTGGACCAAATTAAATTTCTTTGGTTCTTATTGATGCAACCTTGACCAGGCTTATAGGAGTTTTTATCAGCACGAAGACTTTCAAAGTGTCAAGCATTATAAAGATGCAGGAGTGCACACTGACAGGTAACTCTGTTTTCTCTTGAAGGGGGATCACAGAACAAGAAAACAATTGGGATGCTCTGTTTGATACATGGAGGAGGGGTTTATCCTGATGAAAAAAAAATTTAATAAGCTAATTAATGTTCTCCCCTGTCTGTCCTGCTGCAGCAGCAGCCTGAGGTGCAGGAGGGTTTGTTCACAGAGGTTTTTGGAGCTGGGTTGGTGATGCTCCAAAGGCCACATTCACGTGCTGTGGGTGACCCCAGTCTGTGTCAGCTTCTCGAGTGCCACAGGGGAAGAGAGAGAACATATAATAAGAAGAATTATGATGTGCAAACATTGCCTCAATTCAATTATTAAATAACTCACCATTTAATGCCTTCAGTAGGTTTTGCAGAGGAAGGGATCAGCAGAACTCTTAGGTTCAGGCTCCTGGAAGGAGAAAGTAGCCCAGAGCCCAGGAGTGCAGCAGCTCACTCCAAGAAGATGATGTTGGTGGCTCTGGAATCCCCTGCCAGCTGTCCCTGGCCCTGCACAGACATCTGAGACCTCCCAAAAGTTAACCTCCACTCCTAGCATGAAGCACTTTCTTCTCCTTCTGAACCTAGCTTGCTAAATTAGTTTTGACATAGAATATTTGGAGTACAAACAGTCTATAAAATGTTAGTGGATAATGGTCCCTTTTCCATGGCATGGGATTAACAAAGCCAGGCAAAACAGCCAAATGCTGTGCAGCTGTATCTGAGCTGAATAGCACAAGCTCTTACAGCAGCCTTCAGTGCAGAAATGAAATGAAATTTCCCTTAGAGTTTATTGATGTTTCCCATTATGACGCAGTGCACATAGTTCAATTAATTCAATAAAGTTTTATATAAAACCAAAATGAACCTATAATTCTGGCATTAACTGCCAACAATTCATATTACCTCTGCAGAAGGAAAGTCCCCTCAGTTTCATTCTTGATAATTCAGCCCCAGTAATCAGTAATTCATCTTTATTGCCTCAGCGCCCCTTGAACAAAAACAGAGAATGCAACAACTTAAAATTATTTCTAATTTGGTTTCTAATGTGGTTTTTAAAAAGGATATTTTATATTGGTGGTTTCTTATGACCAGGAAAAAAAAATCCCTCTGTAGCCTTTCAGGAAATGCAATATACAGTAACAAATATTTTAGCTGCATTTTTCTTTTCACAAATCTTCATCTATGAAGTGTTTTGAGAATTAATGGGTAATCTTTTCCTCTAAATATCATATGCCATAGTGAATATCTGGTTTATGTAGTCTTACCATAACATGCCCACAAGACCTCAAAAAATTTTAGAAGCTCCCTGTTGTCTTTGCAAACACGGGGACTTGTTAATAACATTTTTGCTTTTAATTATAAATTAGTGTTTCTTCTTCTTAAAAGACCAGAGAACTTGTGCCATATGAAAGTAATAAAGAAATAAAGTCAGAAATTTCAATGAACTAATATTTTCTTTACAGGAGAAAATGAAATTAGACTTACAACCAACTTTTTACTGTTTTTCAGTTTGATGTGTGTCATGTCAAGTTTCTTATAATGAAAGATATTTCTATATAAACTCTTTTGGCCTGCTGTTTGCTATAGCTGTCTTGCTAATAGTCTGTAATATAATGTTATTTCTCCTCTTTCTTTGTTTTCTGGTAAATACTTAAATTATTTTAAAAATTGTAACAAAATTATAAAACAAACAAAAAAAAAAAACCAAGAAAAAAAACCAAAAATGACATCCAAAAGCAGATAAGTCCAGGTGAGTTCTTCATAAGAAAATTTCTAAGAATGCATACACATTTTCGGCACTGACACACTGGAGGTGACAAGAAGCTTAGGAGGTCAGGAAGATCCTTCTGTCAAATGAAGGACACCAGGGGGACCCTGTATCTTCACTGAGGCTCCAAAATGCTGCCCTGGGCTCCTGGTGGTCACTCAGATCTGCTGATCATTCCCAGCTGGCTGGAGCATGCTGAGCATCTGTTCTCTTCCTCTCCTCCTTCCCCAGGAGTAAAGGTGTTGAGAAGGAGCTGGTATTCATCTGGATTTTATCATAACATGGGCCAAGATATTAAATGGGTTTTTTGAAGCACTTCCAGAACCAATTATCTAGCTGGTGAAGAGGTAAAAATGAGTTACAGATTGACTTGGATAAGATAAAATGAACGATTTGCATGGTATATGATATATTCCAGTACTGTGATGCTGGAAAATAGCCCTAAGCAATGAGCCCTGGAAGCAGCACTTCCACTGCTGTCAGCTCCCAACCAGCTCCTAAAGGAAAGAAAACCACTTGGCCACACTTCCCAGTTTAGGGAATAGAATCAGAGGGGTTGGGGATAAAAAACTTGTACTGACCTTACCCCACCACCCTGCTCCTCACAGTACAGATACTTCTGTTATACACTACAAAATTTGTTTGAGTAGAGGCACTTAAATGACTCGATGGACTGTAAAAATTCTCATCTGTTTTTTCATCTCAAGATTATCCAGCTTGCTCTTTAAAGATCTCCAAAGGTGGGAACACTCACACAGAGTTATGTGCTACTTCCTGATTTTTCCCAATATTCTTTTTCACTGCCATTAAAACCTATAAATCTGAGCCATGAAAAAAGTAATCCTGTGGGTTTGGGTTGGTTTTTTTTGTATTAGGTGGAGCAACACCATTTTCTGGCTTTCCCCCATATAATATATATATATTTTTTATGTTTCTTTTTGGTGTTGTGTCCACAGCCTCCTCACTTGGCCCACCTCTTTCTTGAAGAGTGATGCTCAGCACTGGGCAACAGCTGCTGGACCTAAAATACCTGGTCAGATTGGCACTGTGCTTGTGCTCTGACTGCACACCTTGCTGCACTGCATTCCTATTTCAGGGCAGAGCTGCCCTGTTGACATGCAGCTGGAGCTGCAAGGACAGCCTCTGTTTCTCCTGTGCAGAACCCAGGCAGTGTTTCCTCCCTCCTCTTTGCTTTTTTAGCAGAAGAGCCATGCAGAATGTGAAAACTCCGTGAAATGTTGTGTGTGAGGCTGTGGAATCCTGTGAAATATTAGCCTGTCTTCCCAGACCTTCATTTGTTCACTTTGTCATTCTGAATTTCCCCTTCTTCCAGCACAGTGGCAGAAGTTCTCAAGACAACCTGCCCTGGAAATAATTTTTACTTCATCATTCTACAGCTGCTTATGGTGATGAAGATGATGATGTCCTTTTTTTTGTAGCTTTGTTCAAAAAATTAATTTTTTTAAAATTATTTTCTTGTTAATACTGACTATATCCCTGTGTATTCCTAGATGTTAGGTAGGTGCCCAAATCCAGATGTGACGTTTGTCCCTGCGCGCCCCAGCTGCCCCGGGGGTGCTGCTCCTTCCATCTGGGCTCAGCTGCCCAGGAGCCAAGGGTTTCTGCTGTAAGCTGCATGACTAAATTCTCTTTTCAGCCAGGCAGCTCTCCAGAGGATCACTCATCCTTTCCCAGCCACTGATCTCACTTCTGGACAAATTCTTCCCTGGACAAGCCTATTGTGCATTCTTGGGCGTTGAAGGAGCCTAGGTGACTAAGATTGAATCTGTTGATTTTAGGTAGGATTAATAAAGGCTTATATTTGGGTTTATTCATATGTAAAGTCAGATAATTGTACTTCATGAGTCTACTGAATGGACTCAGACTTTTCTTGGTTTTGGAAATGATCTGTGAAATGGCAATGAACAAAAGAGCCTCCCAGTAAAATAAACAGCTTGTGCCTTCTACTATGCAAAAATTTCTGTCCAATTAATGGAACAATATGGCATGGCTCTCCAGGCTGGAGCAAGTTTGGAAAAAGTGTATTAGGTGAGATTAGTTTCCTTTCCTCTTTGTGGGATCCTTCAGGCCACGAAAACAAGGTTACTTTAGTGTAATTAACCTTTAAGAAGCTTGGTTTGTTTGCATGAGTTGAACTCTGTCCTGCATTGCTGTATGTGAGAAGTTTTCTTCATCTGAAATGTACTTCCTAAAAATCCAATATCCCTTTTTTTTCCCTAGGAAAATTGCAAAATCAAGCAGGAAGGATTTATGGATGGCCAGGGGAGGGAAAATAAAATTGATCATGAAAAAAGGAGGGATAATGAGATGAGAATCATTCCTGCTGTTATGGGTTCAGCATAAAAACTTGTGCAGTCATGTGGTGTTGATATCAAATTGAAAGGAGAGCTATTTATTGAAAATCTGTGAACAAAAAGAGTTTTGGCTGTCATTTTACATGGAAAAATGTTGCAACATGTAAAAAGAGCTATATAAGTTCATAAGTAAATGTGTGTCTAAGAATTGTCATAACTCCACCTGACAGGAGTTTCATTTTTCATATTTGTTACTTCTTTGGATAATGGAAGATAACAAATATGTTTCTGAAATTTGGAAATAAGCTATGCTTTTCACCAGCTATCCTTATTAAAACATGCTTTTTTGGATATAGTAGAAGGGTGAACATAAAGTCTTCTCATTTAATATTGAAATGTGCTGAATAAAGTCAACTGGAAAATCCCATCCCTGTACATTATCAGTGTTTTTAGATTTCTTTTGTGAAAGTCATCCTAGCAAGCAGTTGATCCCAGGAGAAAGATCAGAATCTTAAATGGGCAGAAAAATAAAAGAGCACTGATCACATGAATATTTATGAGAATTATGATTAGAGACAGCTTTTAGCTACAAAAATTACGTCTGGATTCAAATTTACTAAAAATTTATAGATGTTTCTCAAGGTATTCCTGAATTAACACTTAACAGGCCAGATCATTGTTGTAAAGTTGAAAGTCTTGTAGAGACTATTTCACTTTCTGTTTTATTAGACTGGGTTCAAGATTTCTCCCAATCCATATGGGCAGCCTGAGTCCATAGGAACAGTGAGGGATCAAAGATCTGAGTAGTCAAATATTCAACTTGCTCTCTCTAACTTGGAAAAACTGGCCTCTGAGTAATGCAGCAGCCTTTCAAGTCTTAGTTTGGGGTATCTCAAAGATCAGATTTTTTATTTTTTGCTGCTCCTCTGGAAATTTTGAAAATAGTATAGACCCTGTATTTCCAGTCTGTTGCATCTCATGAGATAATATTTGGCTTCTATGCATTGAATTGAGGGCATTTTGTGTGAATAAATATATTCATGTGATGTAATTTAAGCTCGTGATCCTGGTGTTTTGAATGTTTCTCAGGTCAGCACCATTCACTCTCTGCATTTATATTCCTGCTCAGATGTTTCCTCTGTTCAGAATTCCTAATCCCTTCAGTTCCTTTCCCTCTTTTCTTTGAGAAAGAAAGCCTGGCAGCTGTGACAGCAAAAGCTTGAGACACCCTGAGGACATCTGGAAAGCTGGCAGTGAAGAGCTGAGTCCAGCAGCTCCACAATTGTTACTGAGCCCTCTGCAACTGCTGGCTTCTTTCTCCCTGGCCTTGGATTCCAGCTCCAAGTGAGTCTCTTTTTGAGGTAGAAGGACCATCACAGAAGCATTTGCTCATCCTTTTGGTCACTTTGAGTGCAGCAAAGGGCTGGGAGAGGTTCAGGCAAACGCTGTGCCAGGAGAGTTTCTGGTTTGCGTCCTGGCTGGCTGTGGCTCTGTCCCCAGGCACCAAATGTGGGATGTGTTCATTGATCCTCAGCTCTTCCTCATTTTCCCACACAGCTCTGGGGGTAGTTCTTATAACCTCTCACCAGAAGAAAGCCCAGTTAAAATCTTCACCCTGAAGTCTGATGCTATTAGATTGTATCCTTCCGTATCTTTGCGTGACTTTTAAAATTGCTCTCCGTCAGAATTGTTGCTTACTGAAAATTTGCCACTGCTGTAGTTTATCTAAGAACTCAAAGTTTGTTGCCTTACAAAAAATAGCAGAATTAGGGGGCATAAGGCTTTCCTGAATTGTCACTTTCAGCACATTGTGACTAAGCCCAGCTAGAGGAGAAAAATCACAAGGCAAAGAAGATATTTTGCTGCTTGTCTTCTACCACACAGCCCTGTCACCAGCATGGCAGAGTGTTTGAATGAGATGGCTTTACAGACAAAGAACAGCTGCTAATAACTTAACTAGAAACACTTGCAGGATTTAGATCCTAGGAAGGTTTTGCCATTGGGTTGTTTTATTTATCTATTTTCTGACTTAATGCATTCTTTTTACATTCTCTTTCCATCAGGTAACATGGTCATTATAGTGTAATAAATCAAAGGTAATCATAGCACTTGATTACTGCAATTACCTCAAATGAGATCCTTTTGTTTTTCACTCTTAAATTAATCTCAGAGGAATATTCATAATTCCCTGTCCCAGTGAAACTTCTGTCTTATTGCACCATACACTGAAATATAGGACCTGGAGACATTTAGTACCTCCCAGTGTGGTAATGCCTCGTTCTTTATTCCTCATATCTAAAGATCTAAAGCCTTTAAATGTCCCCAGAATGCTCCTTTCAAGACCAACAATTCACAGTAAATAAAAATACTTTTGAAAGCAGGTTGTTACAATGCAATTAGATATAACCAGAGGTGCTCTTTTCAATGGCTTACAGAAAATAAGATGAAAGTGAAGGTACAGGGAGTAAAACCCAAGCTTTTAAATGTTGATAATTATAGATAAGTGTAATTATGCTAAACTGCATACCTATTCTGAGAGGTACAGCTGGAATACTGCAAGTACTGCTAAGTAGAGTGAAAATATGAAGCAAAAATTTAATAAGAGCATAAAGAAACTCTAAATGTTCACATTATGCTATTATGAATGGCTAAATCACAGGATATTTTAGAGGTAGAGAAAACAACTTATTTATTAGCATATTTCATACAAATACCAGTAGTCTCATTTACATAAATATGAGTATCTATTGAGTGGAAAAAGCAAAATTCTACAAAGTGTGTTTTATGCAATGAAGAGAGCACCCCCTTGCACTAGGAATTCATCTGCACCTTACATCTTAATCACTGGTAGAGATTCAGCGTGTTGTTGTGGAGTTTTTACCTTTTCATTCTTTTTTAGAAGTTTGTAAAACACTTACTGATTTGAACTTTAAAAACACAAAGATTTCCATCAAAACTTCCTAAAATCCATCCTGTTTTAGGTGAATTCCTATAATACCTTCAGCTGGACTCACTCTCTGCTATTTCACTGAATGTGCCCAGCCTGTGCTTGTGCTGAGCTGTTCACCACAACCTGTCTGAGGACAACCACCCAGCCAATGTCTTATCCACTGAGAGGTCCATCCATCAAATCCATGTCTCTGCAGTTTGGAGACAAGGATGCCGTGGGGGACAAAAAGCTTTGCACAAATCCAGGCAGATGACAAGCCCAGGTAGATTTCTCTGCCCTCTGATAAGAAACAGACCTTCTGCATGCCTTTTTATAAATACCTGCTGTGAGCTTCCCAGCTTACCCAGAGGGCTGACAGGTCCAGATGCATCACAGAAGACATGCAGCTTTTAGATTTTAGGGAAAAAATCCATGTCCCTCTTTTACATGCCAGCAACCTCCAGCTCAGATAGGGTCACGTGTAGATGTGGCTCTATGTAGGTTATCACCAGGGCTGAAACAAACTGATTCATTGTGCATCCCTGCCAGCAGTCTGTGAGTGATCATTGAATCTTTTGTTCCATTAATTTATTTTGAGTTGCTTTTCTTTTTTTTTTTTTTTTTCTTTTCTTTTTGCTTCTGGAAAAAGCTCCTTAGCTGTGTCTTATAAACTGTTTTAAATCATACACTTTACCCTCTGCTGTCTACCAGCAGACCACTAAAATGACGTGTTAGAGCCTGTTCTCTTTACAGTTTCATGTTTAACTTCTGCCTTAACAGCTCTGATGCCTTTTTCTTTTCATTTTTTTTCCCCAGGCTTCACACTAAAACACTCTCCAGCTGAGTTATGCCCCTTAGTCATGGAATTCACACCCCAAGCCCTCCGCTGACGCAAACCTTGGAGAGCAGCTCTGTGGAGGATAACCTAAGTGCTGCCTCCCGAGCTGAGTGTGCTGTCCTTCCTTGTTATTGCAACATTGATACACATATCTTCCTTTCCTCATCTGTTATATCCTAATGTCATTAGGACGAGCCTGCAGCACTTTTAGGAGCTGGCTGCCCAGCCTCTTTGACGTCATTGCAGAAAGGTCTCGGCTGCAGAGCCTGCACATACTGTCTGTGATATAGTGTATAAAAATCCATGTCAGTGCTGGCTCTCAGGGAGCTCTGGAAATGATTCAGCTGTCTGGAATGGGCAGATGGCTGCTATCAAAGTTTTATTATCACCATCATTATTATTACAGTGGTTTGTGACACATACTGAACTTTCAGGCTAGTGTTAAAGCTAAAGTATTTGAGCAACACTTTCTGAAATTCAAATCCCTCAAATCCTTTCCAATCTGACTCCAAAAAGCAGGAGTAGGTTTAAAGCTAATTAGACAGATTGCTTGGTTCCACTTCCAACTTTCAGAATAATTATCTGAAAATTCTTGTTCTCATGTAAACGCAACTGTTAACTATTTTTAATTGCTTTGATTTATTGCAGAACTTAAATTCAGTACACATTGAACGTTCAGCAGGGTGGAAAGAAAATTTGAGTTAGTTAAGGGTGCATATGGATTGGATTGCCTACCAAGTTTTTACTCTTTGAAAAAGCTTGCAGTCAACCTAGGCTACTGCATACTGTCTGCTGGAGGCATTCCCTGCCTCTAACTACACATACTGAGGAATTTCTAGGCAGACATCTTCTCCTGTTTGATTTTCCTTCACCATCAACCCCTTCCTCCACACTGAGAGATGTCTCAGGCAAGGGATCTACAGGGCAAGCTTTCATTTATTTAAGGGACATTTTGTTTCATGGTTCTCTCCTCTTTGTAGCTTCATCTTGTCCAGTATCTTCATAACACCCCGGAGTCTCTTCCAGTGTCAGAAACATATTATATGCTCCTTCCTAGAGGCAAAGTGAAATAAAACCACTTTTTCCCCCTCCTAAGTATGGTTCTATTCTCTGTTCCCTCTTCTGCTCTGCACCCAGATAAGTCTGACAGTAATTGTTGCTTGCTCCTCCAGACACTCTCAGAGAACCACTAATCGTTCTTTATCGGGCTGCTGTGGAATCTCCTGAGAGATTTCAAATCACCTAATCACCAAATGAAGGCAGTTCTGCGAGCTTATGTCTGCCTTGCTTTCAGTTAATTTCCCCAGCAGCCTGGAGGGTTTGCCCAGGAAGCTGTGTCTGTATCCCCTGAAGTCTTTCTCAAACTCTACTCCCACCTGATAGCAGGCAAAAAATACATTTTTCTGACATCCTTTGTATACATTCTCTTGTCTTGCCCCACTAATTAACATGACAGATGGTGGTGCAGAGAGGTGGAGTGAGCCATGTGCACTAAATTATACATTGCTTAGGGTTCAAGGTATGAATTACTAAGATAGGTATCCTCTTTTGAGCCCCCCACCTGAGACTTTCAGCCTGACTTACATCTCCCACGGCTGTCCAAGCATCAGCTACTTGTTGGGTGTGTACTTGACCTCGTTTCCACTGGAAAAAGGATGTGGTGGGGAAAGCAGCAACAGAACCACTTAATGATGAGAGGAAACAGCACGAGAATTGACTTAAAAGAATAAATGGACTTAGGTTAAGCTGTGTAGTGTTGCACAAAGGTTTGCTAATGGCAGCCAAGCTCGTTCTCTCACAGCTAGCTCAGGAAGCTCCCTGCCCATTCCTGGGACAAGCAGCTTTAGGTGCAGGATCATAGGATCTGCACAGGTGTGCCAGCTTTCCGCACCCTGCACCCAGCTGCATGTCCACTTTTCCTTAGGGTCAAGACAGCAGACACAGATTTTTGAGTGATGAGGAGAGTGATCTGAAGGAGACTTTGACGTGCAAGACACGATGATAACTCCTGGGAGTTCCCATCACTGCACTCCTGAATTCCAGCCCCATTCTGGATTCCCCTCCAAAGGCTGCTGTGCAGGCTGGAACCAGGTCAGACTGTGCAGATGATCCCAGCAGTTAGCCTGAAGTATGCTCAGATTTAAGTGTGTTCATGAAAAAAGGTTGAGTTTTCATATTTTGCCATAGGACAAGAATCAGAGAAATTTGAACCAAAAAAAAAAAAAACAAAACCAGACAAT